AATCAAAAGATAAATAGCTTAAGAAGTCAGCTGTGGTACTATGCAGTCATAAAGAATAATGAACTTATGAGTTGTCAAAATATATACCATTATGGATATTAATCTGAATAACATTATGCTGAATTAAGTCAATTAGTCACCAAATGATAAACAGAATATAATCTTACTATTATAACAAGGTAAGAACAAGTTTTCATACAGAACATACCATTCTAAGGGAAGGAAGGGAGATGAGGGCAGAGAAGTCTTTTTCTAGATAGTAGCATTTGGTAGCTTTGTTGACTAAAAAAGGCTGAAGTCAGGCACAACCTGACCAAGGTAAAATAACCTCAAGAAGTATTAAAAAAGGAAAAATATCAAACAAAAAAATAGAAGTATACAGAAATGAGAGATGATTTTCATTTTGCACCTAGAAAAATAATCACCAAAAATAGATGGTTATATATCCTGCCATATACATAGTTGTTGTGTGCCGACAAGTCACTGAATCAATCCATCTCATAGAGGATCTTCCTCTCTTGTGCTGTCCCTCCACCCTTCCAAGCATGATGTCCCTCTTCAAGATTTGGTCCCAGCTTGCAACATCCCAAAGGATGTCAGATGAAGCCCCAGAATCCTTGCCTCCAAGGAGCAACCTGGTTTCACCCTCTCCAAGATGAATTTGTTTGTTCTCTTGGCAGTTCATAGTATAATCAATACTGTTATCCAACACCACAGCTCAAAGGAATCAATTAGCAGTGGCATCCACTTCCTAAATAACATGCCTCCGGAAACTCTATGAACTTTAAAATGTCAATAGTTGTAGAGGGGCTTCAGCACTTTTGTTTATTGAGTCGCTATGAGCCATGCTTGACTCAAAGGCAACAACAACAGTCCTTTTCCAGCTTTCTGATGCAAAGCAAGTAACTGTGAAGACTATGACCTGGATCATGCACACCTTAGTCTCCAGACTGATGTCCTTGCTTTTTAGTGCTCTGGAGAGGTCTCTAACAGCAGACTTTCCTGATGCAAATCATCTTTTGATTTCCTGGGTGCTGGTACCAAGAGTGTTGATTATGGTGCCAAGCACACTAAAGCTGTTAACAAACTCAATCTCTTCAACATCTATCATAATGCTGCCAATCAGTCCAATGGTGAGACCCTTTGTTTTCTTGATGAGTTTCAATTCTTTTGAAGGCTATAGTCCTTGAGCTTCTGCAGCAAGTGCTTCAGATCCTCCTCAGTTTCAGCAAGCAAGATTGTGTCATCTACATGATACAGGTTGTTGATAAGTCTCCCTCCAATCCTGATGCCACATTTCTTCTTATACAACCCAGCCTACTGAATGATCTGTTCTGCATATAGATTGAAAAGACAAGGAGATAGGACAACCCTGGCATAGCATACACTCTTCCCGATTTTGAAACAGGCAGTGTTTCCTTGTTGTATTCTGACGACTGCCTCCTGGTCCAAGTATAGGTTCCACATAAGCACAATCAAGTGTTCGGGATTCCTTTTCTTTCAGAGTTAGGCACAGTTTGTGATCCACACAGTCAAATGCCTTTGCATAGTCAATGAAACACAGATAGACTGTGGCACTCTCTGCTTTCAGCCAAGAGACACCTAACATTAGCTATAATATCCTATAATAACATTAGCTATAATATAATGTACTACAGCCTCTTCTAAACCCAGTTTGCACATCAGGCAATTCTCTGTTGACCTGCTGTTCCAATGATTTTTGGATCATTTTCAGCAGAATCTTACTTGCATGTGATACAAATGATACTGTTCGATAATTTCTGCACTCAGTTGGGTCACCTTTCTTTGGAATGGGAACAAATACAGATCTCTTCCAGTCAGTTGGCCAGGTGGTTGTCCTCCAGGTTTCTTGGTACAACATGTTGAGCGCATCCCAGGCAAATGTCTGTCTGTCATTCGGTATGTTATCAATTCTGGGGGCCTTGTTTTTTGCCAATTCTTTCAGAGCAGTTTGAACTTCTTGCTTCATCACCACAGGCTCTTGCTCTTAGACTGTTTCATGAAATTCTTCTGTGTCTGGCAATTTCTTTTGGTACAATGACTCTTTACACTCCTTCCATCTTATTTTAATGTTTCCTGGATTATTTAATATTCTGCCCAATAGCAGAATCTTAAGTATTAAATATTAAGTATATTAAGAATCCTTAAGTATTGCCACTTGAGGCTTAAATTTGTTCATTTCCTTGGCTTCCTGATGCCAGCTCTTTGTTTTTCTGCACTGTCCTTTGAAATCTTGTGCTCAGCATGATAATATCTTGATTCTCTCCCTCTGCTTTGGGTTCTCAGTGCTCTAGTACAATAGTCCGAGTCTCTTCTGACATCCAATTTGGTCTTTTCTTCCTCCTCTGCCTTTGTAATGACTTTTTAAATTCTTCATGGATGATATTCCTGATATCCTCGCTCAGCTCATCTGGTCTTCACTCACTGGTGTTCAAGGTTTTAATCCTGTTCTTGACATAGTTTTGAAATTCAAATGTAATAGACTCAAGGTCAAATTTTTGTGCCTATGGATTTAATTTTCATCAACTTCAGCTTGAACTTGCATATGAATAGTTAGTGATCTGTGCACATTTTAATATATGGTATGTGATGTAGAGGTGTTTCTGTAGGCAAGAATATACAGATGTTTATGTGTAAATAAACTCATATACAAATTGGCCTACTAGTCTACATGAACCACAGCCTCACCTACCTTCAGAACAGAGGACTGTGCCCAGACACCACTATCAACACACGGACACAAATGGTAAAGTTGAATTAACTCATGTAGCCAGAGTTGATTAGGCATGGCTTAGAAGAGAGAGGTTTGCTTCCCAACAGCCATAGAGTCCATGAGTGATTAACTTGGTTAAGTAAGGTGAGAGAGATAATCAGTCTGCTCCTGTTATGATTTACAGCCTAAGAAACCTGATGGAGTGTCACCACAAGTTACACTTGATATGACAGTACTGGGTTTGGGTAGGTTTTTAAGAGTGAATCCTCAGTCACTGACTTTTCACTGTGAGTTCATCAAAGTAGTCCTGTAAGGGTAAATGGCATTCCAACACGGGCCTCCAGATACCTCATCAGATGCTCCTGTCATAACTAGGGAATAAGCTAGCTCTCCTACCATCTTTCATTCTTTAAGATATACAGTTCTTATTACACAGAATATTGCCTACTGGCTGTGATGTTCCCAGGGAGCTACAGAGATTTGCGAGTTTCAGGTATAGCATGTTTTCTCATCAAAATAAAAAAGGGATACTGCTTGTCCTACAAAGGTGAAATATTTTTAAAAATCCCAAAACTAACATTCAGACAGGAAAGAAAAGACCAGCTAAGTAAACAACCTGAGCAATTTACTGATCCAGAGGCTTTTCTTTCTGATGTGCATCAGTGTTGCATCCTTCTCCATACTTGTTCAAAATGTGAGCTGAGCAAATAATCAGAAAAGTTGTACTATAGGAAGAAGAAATTGGCATCAAGGTTGGGAAAAGACTCATCAACAACTTGTGATATGAAGATAACATAACCTTGTTTGCTAAAAGTAAAAAGGACTTAAGGACTTAGTGAAGAAAAACAAAGCATTTCAATATGGATTACACCTGAAATTCAAGAAAATAAAAATGTTCACCCACTGGACCAATAAGCAACATCAGGAGAGACGGAGAAAAGATTGACGATTTTATGGATTTCATTTTACTTACAGTGACAATCAACATCCATGGAAGTAGCAGTCAAGAAATCCAAAGATGAACTGCACTGGGCAAATGTCCCATCATGGACCTCTTTAAAGCACAACGATGTCAATTTAAAGACTAAGGGGCACCTGATCCAAGCTTTAGTGGTTTCACCACCTTTCTATGTACCTGAAAGTTGAATAAGGATTAAGAATAACTGAAGAAGAGCCTTTGAACTGTGGTCATGGTGAAGATTATTAAATATTCCATGGACTGCCAAAGAACAAGCAAGCCTGTCTTGAAGGAAGTATAACCTAGGGCTCCTAGAGGAAAGGATGGTAAAGCTTCTCACATACTTTAAGTATGTTGTTAGGAGAGGTCAGTCTTAAGAAAAAGATACCAAGTTGGGAGAAGCAGTAAAAAAGGGGAAGACCATGAACATGGCAACATGTAACTATAACAATGTATATTTATGATGAAGAAGATGGTGCACGATAGGGCAAGGTTCAGATCTGCTGCTCTTCACAGAGTTGGGGAGTCATGGCTGACTCGATGGCACCTACAAACAGTAATATTCAAAACAGGGAGCTCTGGTGGCTTGTCCTAGGGAGCAACACTGCCAATCTAAAGGCAGCATGCCTCTGCTAGTTCAAAATCACCAGCTGATCTGCAAGAGAAAAGATGAATAATCTCCTCTTGTGTGATTGACAGCTACAGAAAACCTTCTGGGGGATCAGCTACAAGTCAACTGCAAATCAACGGCAATGTGTTGTTGCTGTTGCTGTGTGCCACTAAGTCAGAACCAACCCACAGATGACCTCTAGTGGGGTTTTCAGAGACAGTAAGCCAAATGGAAAGAATATTCAAAAGCAGCATATTTTTATTTAATTAAAGAAATACCAGTAAAATTTGACTATTCTAATTCTTCCTAGAGAATACAATTGACACATTGCTCATAAGTACAAAGCACTTCTTCGGAAGTTAAAAAAGGTAACTTACCTCCATCATTCTTAATTATGTAGACCTGATACTGTCTTTTACTAATTTACTAATGTGGCAGAATCCTTACTATAAATGAATTTAAAAAGAAGGGAAAAGAGCATAATAACCATTATTATGGTTCTATTATAAGTGTATAGTACTGGATTAAAAACCAAAATAAAATGAAAAATGCTGGCTAGAACTTAACTAGATAAAACAGAATTCAGAGTTCATTTCACTTCTTGGATCATTTGTGCAAATCAAGTAAAACCTAAACTCTGTTAGCAAACTGAAATGGTGAAAAATGTCAACTCGTTAAGAAGGTTCATCATCACCAACCTTGCTATCTCTTCTCGATGAGCAGTCCAGTCTCGGATGTAGTCTTCCTGCTCTTTGATCCGATGCTTGAAGGAAGAACTAGTGGGCATTGCTGATCCAGTGCTCTGCAATCGAGTAGTTTTCAGGGCTGGAGAAGTACGTAGACGGGTATGTTTAGGGGAATTACGGTTTGATCCAAATTCATCTTCTGAGGTGGAAGCATAATCAGTAGGAAAGCGCCTCCATCTTGAATTTACTAAATTAGTTTAATTATTAAAGAGAGAATTATTATGTTATCTTTCAAAGGCGAGAAAATAAAAATCATGATTTCAAATACACCATGAAAGAACATACAACACAATTTTCAATAGATGACATACACATACCTCACAAAACCCATTAAGTTTATTAATACTCATTAAAAATAGGAACACTACACTTTGGTGAAATAATAATTAAAATCAATTGAAAAACTTTCTTCTAACATGACCGACAAACATTCACATGAAAAAATTTCACTAATGATAGGTAACTAAGCAAGCTCTACTTAGAAATGTTTAACTTAAACACAATCTAACAGCAAATATTTATTCTCATCTGAGTGAAGATGTGGATTCTTTTTTAAATGACAGCAACAACACAACAAAAGGGGTGGTGTTTTTTTTTTTAAAAAAAAAGGGGGGAAAAGATTTTCTCATGCCACGTGGACTTTCAACATGGAGATGGTAAACTTCTCTTTTCCCAACGTAAAATGTCCATAATTCCTGTAGTGGAAATTATGCCTTTATGGTAGGAAGGGGGGGAAAAAAAAACCCACAACAACACAAAACCACAAAAACAAAGCCACAGACAAAAGCCACATTACCTCTGCCATTCAACATCCCGTTATGCTACGGCTGGAACAATTCTTTTTACATGTCAAAAAGGAAAAAAATACCCACAAACACAACAAAGCATCTTCAGGGCAGCTCTCGGCTGCTCTGACACTAGAAGCACAGAGTGGAAACAGACAATAATAAACTATAGGAAGCAGATCTAGACAAGTTATCATCACAGCACTGACACTGAAGCACAGCACATGCTCTCAATAGCCACAGCTGCTAATATGGGAACAACCCTCTTCTTGAAGTACAAAAGATAGTTTAAACATTGTATTGTTGACACATTTGATATACCCGCACACACTTCACTTCTGCTGTTAATATGAGACTCAAACATACAAATAATCCAACATACTTCATGGTAAGCGTCACAAAGGTAGGAACTAGGTATGTCTAATGAGTGGCCATGAACACCTAGCTCTCTAAGGCTGAGCCAGCACTGAGATAAAACTTAGATATATTGCTGCTGGGATGGCTTAGGGAATGATGAAATCTACAAGTACACTAACACACTAGTAGAGTCTACTCATTTGTCCTGACTTACCCTTCAAGTTTGGTCCTATTTTGAACTTCTGAGGCTTAGAACTAGATTCACAGCTATGAAAGAATGATCATACATAGAAAGCCTATGAGTTTCTGTAAAAGTGTAGGCAAATACTTAAACAAAAAAAATTATAGGTGATTAACTATAGATTTTCTTGAAGGAAGGTTTAAGTACTCATTTTTAAAATATCTATGAACAGAAACTGAACATAAGAAATAAGTTTAGAGTTATTTATAAAAAGGGAGAAAGCATTTATATGTGTGCATTTTACAACCCTAGGGAAGAATGGTGGTAGAACCCTAGTGGTAGAATTGTGGTGTCAATGTAAATGTATGTGGTTGGTATCCACTAGCTGCTCCAAGGGAGAAAGATGGGCAATCTCCTCCCATCCAATTTACTGCCTTTGAACCACTGTAGGGTCAGCTAGGTTCTGATTCAATGGAACATAACAACAACAATTTTTTTTAAACACTAAATAAAGTTTAGGACTATAATCAAGGAGATTTAGAAGAAAACTGGGCAAATGAACTGTCAGTTTTGTGCTTTTCAGTAAGCGCATTCTAACAAATGCTAAATGACATATACAAACTATGGTTATCTTGTAACAACTACTTAGATGTGCTGAAGAAGTTATGTTTTATTTCAATCTTAAATAATTCATGCTGAACAGTGAGGAATGAAACCAAATCACTCATCTGTCAAGAGCCAGTCAATCAGTGCTGAAGGAAAGTATATTTGGTAACAATTTAGAATAATTTTCATAAAAGTAAATTTATAAATAAGTAGAATATTACCCATTGATCAAAAGTTCTGATTGGGAAATTATGATCACTATGTTTGGAAAGAAAGGCAGTAACAGTTTAATGAACTGCAGAATTTAACAAGAATAGCATCAATGGATGATAATGAGAAGTGTTTTATACTATATATCAAATACACTAAACTATCAAGTGAAAATATAGAAACATCTGTAATTTTCAACTCATGATTGGGTTTTGCTCCAAAGACTGAGGTTGGTTTAAACTAAGATTGAATACTTTTCTTTCTTTTATAAAACATTTTATTACCATTATATAAACTTTATCCTTATATTTAAGGGTTAGAATGAGAAGGGTAACTTTAGCAAATTAAATACTGTACAGAGTATACACAACTAACAGTAAAATGTACAAAACAACAGCAAAACCCAGTCATAAATACATCCTGTTACAACTCAAATACATTATCAATTAGGGATTATATCCATAGTTTAAATATCAGAATTTGAAAATCAGTACAATAAGGAATGGCAAAAGTAAAAAAAAAAATCCCTCAAAATATTAATTTTTCTTTTCAAAAGAAATTCACAATTTCCCACCTACTTTCATTAGTTTATCTATGAAGAAAAAGTGAGCTTTTTAAAGCATATTTTTTCAAAGCATATTTTTAAAATTGAAAAGCATATTTGATTTGTGTTCTCTAATAAACAAAGGGACAGTGAAAGATTAAAACATGCAAGTATATGAATAAGAAAAAAACGACAAAATTTTCATTTACTAAGAGATGTCTCTACCAATAAAACAAATCATAATGAGGTGCTATGAAGTAAAGTTCTAGTTAGCTGGGTCATCTCTGTTTAACAGCAGAGAGTAAAGCTAAGTAAGAGTGTGTGTGATGATCACTACTAATGGAAAAGGGATTTGGAAAAGGGGAACTAATGCCAGTATCTCTAACCTGCTTGCATTTTTTAAAAAACTTCAAAGCTCTTCGGGTTTATTGAGCCTTGCTTCCAAATTTTAGCCAATACAAATCTTATCTGAAGAAAATTTCCTATGGTGTGCTAATAAATGCAAAGAAAAACCAAGTTAGAATGTATTTCCCCCAAGCCTTCTGGATTTCATATTCTCTTAGTCCTAGAATGAACTTCGATATGACAGCCCACATTCTTCCAACTGATAGAAAAGCAGCAGGTCACATGACGTGACCGGCTATAATTACTGTGTAAGATCTCAGAATTCAATATGTGTAAGTGCTCAGCAATTAAATGCTAATGAGACTAATTTATTTTTACAAAGAGATGTGAATTTTCTCACAGAATGAAAGTTTTAGAAAAAAATTATTTTTTTCCTTCTGAACTTTATTCTGCTTAGTAAAATAATCTGTACAACTAAATATAATTTTACATACTTGGGTTCATTTGCAAGCAACTTAAACATCACTAAGACATTTATACATCATTAAATTTTTAAAAAATATATCTTTTTTAGTGAAAAATTTGAAATGTCATTGTACAGGAGGTACCTTGGAGGATTAGCAGAGCCTACATCATATAATGAAAAGAGAGTCTCAACAAAGTTGACTAAACTTGTAGTTCATTTGAAACTTTAGTCATAATAGTACAAAACTTACTCTTAGTTATACAATACTCCCTCTTGTGGAAGTACTGATCAACTACATTCACTCTAAAAACTAAATCTAGAGAATTAAAAGTGGAAAATGCTATTAAGACCATATTATATCTGTTAAAGTTCTGCTTGTTATGCTAATCAAAACTTTGCAATTAATATACATTCATCTTAGGAAAACAAATATGACCTCTTCATACTTTAAATCAGAAGATCTCAATGGAAAATAAAACTAAAAACATGTTTGACATGTATATCTGTATGTAGCAGCAAAACCATATGGGGGGGAAAGCTTTCTAGCAATTTTCTGTATTGCTTTTTTGATCTAGAGAAAGAAATAATTCAAGAAAATCCAACACAAAATGTCTATTAATAAACTGAGAATTAGAATAAAACTAGGAAAATAGTACAAAAATGTCTAAGGCCATTAATAATGTTTTCATTGCCTTGAGTATGCTCTTGAGATAGAAGCCATGTGCTTTAGCATGCTAATTCAGGGGATTTAGTTTTAGGTAAGGGAACTCTGGTGCGTTAGCCTGCAGGGAGCTTCACTGCTAACCTAGAGGCGGCTGATTTGAATCCACCAGCACGTCCTCCAGAGAAACATCAAAAATTTCCTCCCCTGAAATTTTTAGCCTCTGAAAACCCACTGGAGGGTCAGTTATGAGTTCTGAGTTCTGACTTGCTAGCAATAAGCATTTCGGGTGGATTTTTCATTTGGTATAGTGACTCTGTGTATTCCCTTCTGTATCTCTTTTTTTCTTTTATGGATTTGCTTATAATCATTCATACACACACACACACACACACACACACACACACTGTATTTTATACAGTGATTCATAAAAGCACAATGCTTTTGAGTTTTAAACAGGGAGCACTGGTGGCCTACTCAGTAAGGAGTTGGCGGTCAACACAAAGAAAAGTGGTTTGGATCCAACAGGTGCTCTGGAGGCGAGAGATGGACAAGTGATGTACAGACATATTTTAGAGTCTAGAATAAGAAATTTGAAACAGTATACAACAAGGCCTACAAAGTCTCCACTCGCTTTGCAACACCAAACTGTGATTCCACATTCTTTTAAATCTTATTTCAAAAACTAAGATTTTTTTTTCTATTTTAAGCACTATAACTCTTAAGTAGAAATATCTTGATATCAATACACCTCATTCAGAAAGGATCTGTTTGTTTGCTTGTTTCAATTACCTACCAATACCTCCCCATTGACTGCTCATTCTAAGATAACCTTGAGCTGGGTAAAATATTAGAATCACAAATGCTGACGTGACCACCTGCAAAACCTTGATAACATAAACTGACCTTATATATAAGTACTGTCAGGTGGTTCGAATCCACCAGTGATTGCAAGAGAGAAAGATGGGCAATCTGTGCTAGGAGTTAGGTTCCAACCTGAAAGCCGTGTTTGAGTTTTTCTATACTCCTGAGAATATTCCACAGATTCTGGCTGCACCTGGATGCTTTCACAGGGACTGGCACTAATATGCAATTGTGTAGCGCTAGATGGGATAGAAAAAGCAAGTAGCAGGAAACTGAGACCTGCCTGGGACTGCCTTGCTGTCCTTGCCACAGGTGGCCTGAGTTTGTGAAATGGGGAACTCTCTCCAATGAGGCAGCTGTTAAGCTTTAGAGTTCTCTGACTGTAATTACTGAGTATATGGTCATCAAGCACGAAGGGGACTAAGGTCATGTTCCACCACTTTCCTTAGGAATCACATTAAGCAATTCACAGTAATTTTCAGACACAGAAAACAGTGTCTCTCAAGTTTTAGATTCAAAGAAGCAGACATAAAAGTTTATCTAAAGATATATCTAAGATATAACACTTTATATATGTTTATAAAGAATTGCTGGAGGAATTATATTTTATTTAGATCTCAATTAAGAACCTCATGTTAGACATTTTTGGAATGAGACCAGATCAGTCATGTGTTAAGATCCAGTCAACTTGCGCATAAGGAAGAAACATTTTATGTTATATGCTAACATAAAACTTAGATTACATCACCTGTGGGAAGGTGATGTAATAAACATGTTAACATAGTCAAAGGGCTCTGGTGACTCAATAGTAAGGAATTGTGCTGCCAATCCAAAGGCACATGGTTCAAAGCCACCAGATGCTCCACAGGAGAAGGATGAGCAATCTCCTCCCACACAATTTCCTGCCTCTGAAAACCCATTGGAAGGTCATCTATGGTTCAGATCTGACTCAAAAGTACTAAACAACAGTTATCATCAAATAGAGATGAGACAGCTAAACAAATGACTTGCAGGAATAATTTTATCAGGGCATGCATAACAAAACACAGCACAAATAAAATGTGAATTTAAGAGGTAGAGTCCTAAGGAATAACAAAATACCTCTGGATACACAGTTTAGAAATATTAGGCAATAATCCATTACCAACCAACCAAAAACTAAACTGTGGAAACACTTATCTCAAAGACCTAGAGATAAAGAAAATGTCATCTATTTTTTTTTTAACAATGGCTATATATTACATGCCTTCAGTTTACATGTACGCCTACCATGGACTATGATAATCATCAGAGAGAGGGTGGGGAAAATAGAAAAAATACCAAAGTACCTGCACCAGTTCTGAACCTTCCAAGAACAATACTGCAGTAGATGTAAAACCAAAATGAGCAAGACTACCTCCACACTCTCCCTCTATTGAAGAGTCAGGCCCACTTAGAAGCTTGCTAAACGACAATAACCTCTAATCCTCAAAGTTTTATAAACAGCTGTGTCCTAGCCTCACCCCTGGTCTTTCCAGTCCATATATGAAGCTGATTATGAAATAATGAGACCAGCATACACACAATAAATGACCTCATTATCTGGTCATAATTGTATTCTCAATGACTTTAGTGCTGAATATGAAGTGAAAATAGACTAGAAAAAAAAAAGAGAGATAAGTATGTCCAAAGCAGCTAGATTCTGATAGGAAGTTAGTAGCTTTTCTAACTAAAATCCTTAATTATTAGATTAATTAACTAATCTAATCATGACACCTAAATTCTGTGACAACATCTCATGAGATAAAGCTTATAGGCCAGAGGCCAATTCAATTCCTACAGGTCCACTGTACCTTGTCCTATATATTCATCTTGTTCCTCTGAAATAAATGAGGGGTAAATTTTCTTCTGTCTCAATCAGAAATAGATTGAACTTTAAAACATTTATGTTTTAAATGTTCTTAAGCTCAAAATAAGCACAAAAATATAAAAAAGAAATTAAAAGGCTGAGACAATGGTTATACATAATTTCATGCAGTTCTGAAATATCCAAAGATACACTGGTTTTCTTCAGGTTTGTAAGCCTTGAGGAACATGAAGCTATATCAAACAAACAAACAAAAACACCATGCTTTGTATTGAAATTGTTATTGTTATTTAAACCAGTTAATAATTCCAAATATAACTTGGACACACAAATCCAGACACCTTAGCAACTGATCATTTAAAAAAAAAAATGGATAAGTCAATTCAATGTAATTCTGAATCTGAAGCAGTATTTTGACAAAGGTACAAATTGGAAACTTACATAAACTTCTGAATTTTCCATTTATTTAACCAAAGTTCCTGTCACCTCTCTGGGGAGTATTTTGGGATGATAACAAACAGGACTTCATTTTTAAGATAAAGATTCTGAAAATAGAGACTGTGATATTATTATTTTCTTTTCAAGAAAGTATAGATCTAATTTACCTGAAGAAGAGCCGTGTGAGGAAGTCATGCTTTTGACCTTGGAGTCTGAGAGTCGGGAGATACTGTTGGCTCGAATTCTGGGAGAAAATTTATCTGATGGTACTAATCTGGCTCCACTTCTAATAACAGTTTCTGCGGTCCGGGAAGAGGCACTGCTTCGAGATATTGTTGCTTCCGAGTCACTGCGTGCTGATAATGAGCCAAGCCTTGTTCTGCGGGGCTGAGCCAGCAAATCAATCCTAGAGATGTTGCGCCTGCCTGTGGGCGGTTTAGACGTGGAGCTCGTGGTGGAGACCTCAGAAGCAACAGATGCTTTGTCAGCATCTGCCAGCTCACTGTCTGACACTTCACCAAGCCGAGCTCTGCGCAACAGGGAAGTCCTGGTGGGCCTCGGCCTCGGCAGAGTGGTTGATTTGCTGGACGAACCAGACGCGACAAGAGTTGTCTTCGATCTAGTGACTTTACTTCCTTCCAGTTTGGAATGTGCGTGTTCATCAGCTGAGGTAAGTGGAGTCCTTCCATGAGGCTTTGTAGAGTAAGTTTCCTGGTCGGACGACATCACATCCGAGATGGCAGAGTGAGGTACACTGGAGGTCTGGTCATCATCCGTTAAGTCTACTGAAGGCTGTCTCACTCTCCCGCTGGACTGTACAAACTTACGGCCCTCTCCTCTCGAGCCCGTGTCTGTGGACCGGCTCTTAGTTTTCTTTTCCATCTTCTCCCTTGCACCTGAAGACGATGATGCTTTTGCAGCATCTTTGGAAGGAGAGCCTGAAGAACACCTATCTTTGTAGAGGCTGGTGAAACTCTTGCGCTTCTGGGTTGACTTCCTTTCGGTCTCACCAGTAACCAGACTGATGGTACTAGCAGTATCCACGTCGGATTCCGGAGAAATGGAATTGTCTCTGTTGTAACTGGGAGTCTCAGGGCCTTCCTCAGCTTTATTGTCTTCACGAAGTTTAGCCTCGAGAAAAGCCATGACTGCTTCTGTGTCTTTGAGAATGAGGGTCGTGTCCATGGAATCGGTATCCACAGAGTCACTTCTCTCCCGAATCCTTGCTGTGGAGGTCAACGCTAGGGAAGATGGTGCGGCTGGGCTCTGCTTGTTGATGTGTGGAATAAGTTCTATGGGCACGTTGGGGCTTGGCTTTTCTATGGTGAAGCTTCCTTGTCGTACTAATGACTTGGAAGACTCCTTCTTGTCTCCTGCCTTTGACGTTTGACTTTTGAGAACATCCTCGGCTTTTCTGCGTTTGCCCTCGGTTTGTACCATCCTCTCTCCTTTGCCTGGAGAACAGCCAGGGATCTTTTCTTGAGGCTGTGACTCTAGTTTAAGACATTCTTCTCTGCATTTGTCTACCAGACTGGAAATATTTTTTGAAAATGACGGTTTAGTGGGTGTCCACTCTGCTTGCTCTTTTTGTTCCTGCTGTTGAATCTTGGCTAAGGTTTGTTTTACCAAAGAAGCTTCTTTATCCGTTTCACTTTTCTCCTTGCCTACGCTAGACAGCACTTTATGATCACCAATGACAGCCTTCTGAGTCTCACCATTTACTGTCCGGCTCGTTTTCCTCAGCGCTCGGTCAGCATCATATTTGTCTTTCTGGGACACTTGTGCTGGTGTTTCTTTCTCCTGAAGCTCCGTGTCTTGCTTCTCTCCTATCTCCGACCTCTGGGTCACAGCCTTCACCCTGGAGCTCTCAAGAGCCTTGTCTTCATCTGGAAGCTGGGGAAGAGTTCGTCTCCTCCTCTCCCCTTGAGTGGCCAATGAAGTTGCTGAACCAGTACTTCTCACTGAAAGGCCAGGTTCATTAATATCTGTATCTAAAAAAGGTACAGATAGGAGAATTATTATGGCAAAGAGAAATAAAGAACATGAGATCACATTAGAATTTTAAGTAAATCTAAAATAAAAATGTTTTACATAAATAAATAAGCCAGTATTATGACCAAGTTACTTATAAAGCAAGTGCAGTCCTAGGGTACATGAACAGGCATAATACTAATAAAAGATTCAGTAAATCCAATAGCATGAAATGAAATTAAAACTAACTGATCTAGAAGCTACATCACTTTTTCTCCTTTTCTCATAACGTGTTTTATATTTAGACATCTAAGTGTGTTCATTTTTGCTTTTGTGACATATCGTATCCCTGATTTTTTTCTTAACAGACTGAACCTAGTATATCATAAAATTTGTTGTTGTTATGTACCAGAAGTGTTGGAAGTGAGCCATAGCTGACCCTCTGACAGGTTTCAGAGGCAGTTAATTACACAGAAGGAGGATGCCCATCCTTCTCCCATGGAGCAGCTGGTGGATTCGAGTTACTTGCCTTCAGGAAGGAAACACAGCTTCTTGCCACTAGGCCACCAATGCTCCCTCTCTGCTATATTACAAAATAGCACAGATAAAAGTTTATTGGCCATTTTCACAATTATGCTGTTGCTGTTCTCTATCACAGAGTCAGAACTGACCCACAGCGGACCCTCCAGTGGGTTTTCAGGGGCAGTTAATCACAGGAGGAAACTGCTCATTTTTCTCCTGTCTAACACCTGGTGGATTCAAACCATGCACCTTTTGTGCTGATAGTGCAATTCCTTACCACTAAACCATCAGAGATAAAAGTAGAAAAATCACAAAGTGGAAAATGTAGACTACTCTAAGAAAAATTGACTGATTTCCATAATAAAATGGAATAAACTTTAAAATGATAAGATGTGTCATAATTTTACAAATAGAAGGGCTTTAAAATTCAATGCTTTTGTGTTGTGGTGTTGAAGAAGAGTATTGACTATCCCAAGGACTGCCAGAAAAACAAACAGGTATGTCTTAGAGACAACGCAACCAGAATGTACCTTAGAGGAAGTGATGGTGAACCATCACTTCACATACTTTGGTCTACTTGTTAAGAGAGGCTAGTCCTTAGAAAGGGACATTATGCTTGGAAAGGTGGACAGTCAGCAAAGAAGAGGAAGTATCTCAACTAGATGGACTGATATAGTGGCAATGGGTTCAAGTATGTTAAAAATGATGAGGATGGCACAGGATGGGACAGGGTTCAGATCTGTTATTCACAGGGTCGCTATGAGTCATACTCAGCTCGACCGTATTAACAACAACCACAACAACAAGGTCTCAAACAGAAATATAACTTGCTTTGTTTCAGCAAAGTACAAGTCAATGATAAGAGTCATACTTTGGTATTTTAACATGAGGATATTAAGTATCAAGAGAATATTCAAGATCAAGGATGCTTGCTTCCAAAATAGAAATGATTTCTTGGAAAAAGTTCTCATTTTCAGGAAAGTATATATTTTAGGGATAAGTGAGGAAAAAATTTTACTACTTGAGGCACCTGTGGCTTTTTTTTCTTTCCAAAAGTTTAACATTAAAAATTAAAGCAACACAGTGGTTATGAAGCAGTGACCAAAATTTACTGAGTGACTGTATTTCAACATTTAATCAAGTTTTCTTATTATGCTATTCCATTTTATGTGTATCATATGTCTAATTTCCTTATTATGAGTTGAATCATCTAAAATGTAATGCTTATTTTATCTTTTTGAGCATTTCTCCTACTATCCTGCTCCCAGCAGACAATACATTTAAAACTCCATGAGTTGAATGAACTCATTGCTGTCAAGTCGGAACCGACTCACGGCTGATCTTCAGAGACAAACAATGGCACAGGAAGACTCTGCCCGTCCCTCTCCCGTGGAGCTGCTGGTGGACTGGAACCCCCAGAGGCACCACCTGTGGTTGTGCAGCACAACACCCTACCAATTCTAGAAATACATGTTTAACAAAGAACATTTCAGGAATTAAGCGATTTTTTCAGGTGGTCTATGTTGCTTATCTAAATAAATGCATTTAAATTAGATAGCTGAATTAGGTAATATGAAACAGGAATGAGATAATTAAGTTATGATTTTTTTCCTTATAAAAAATTCACTTTAAAAAGTTGATAATAGAGCTCTGGTGGCCTAGTGGCAAGAAGCTGCACTGCAATCCCAGAGGCACACAGTTTGAATCCACCAGATGCTCTGCCGAGGAAGGAGGGACAATCTCCTCCTGTACCAGTCAGATCTGATTTGACGGTACACACACACACAAATAATAAAATAAAAAAAACAAACAACAACAACAAAAAAAACCCCACAACTTTAAAAAAAAAGTTGATAATACTTTTACAATGATTTCTCTGGTAAATTGTTTTTTTCACATTTTTTTCCTTTTTCTTTTATGAGAAATTCATACAGATTGTGTTTCATTCACTATACTGTTCATACATTCCTTCAATCACATTGTCTTTCATACAATCATTCCTATACATTGTGTTTTTTAAACTTTTTTATATTTATTTGCATACAAAACTCATAGACATTGTTTCATCATGTATAGTTATCATGTATTTGTGTTTCATCATGCATGAGGTATACAATGTATATGATCATTTCTATATATTATATTTTATAAAATTAATCACCATTGATCTCTGCCCACTATTATCCTGTCTTTTCAGGTCCCCACTGGATCTTTCACAGTTCCTTCACTCCCTACTGTCTGATTTATTTGTTTACCCAATGGTGACAAATTTATGTCAATCTTCAAACTCCTCTCACTAGACAGTAAATAACTAAGCAATAAATACTGAGACTCTTTAGAAGTGAGATAAAATTTAGTTTAACTTTAAGCATCTATTCTCCTGGGAAGGAGAAAAGTAAAACTCTTAAGGATGCTTTGCCTACAAATTGTGTGATGCTGAGTTGGAAACTAGCTCATAGTTAACTCTCCAGCAGGTTTTCAGAGGCAGTTAATTAATCATACAGGAGAAGAATGCCCATCCTTCTCCTACAGAGCAGCTAGCAGAATAAAACCACGTGCCTCTGGCATTTAGCATACCTTCTTTCCACCAGACCCCCCTGGATACATACTAATTCATATAAATTTTACATTTTAGTAGTCAAACTAAAATCATACTACAAGGATTTTAAAAAAGTATATGTGATTAAAATGATAGAGAATACCATTTTCTAATGAAACTGGTGCAGTCAATTCCATTATCCTTTCTTCTGGATCATGTCTTGTATGATTTGCAGCCAGACTAGCCCACTGTGAAACCCAACGCTTACTTCCAGGTGAAGATGTGCTTTCCTAAAGGAGGAAAAAAATAGTCCAGTGTGAATCCTAGAAAAGAAAATCCTGCTTAGTCATACTAATGTCTAATCTACAAAGTAATAGTTAAATCTCACACTTCTGCTTTAGCATTTACTTACTTTCCTCATATATAAAATAGATTTCCAAAGGTTTGCTATTTGATTGTAATGTTCTATTATATCTGTGAATGGATCATAAATTAACTCTTTGAAATAGTAATTATGCTATTAAAAGAAAATCTAAAACCTTACAAAAAATTTGGGATTGATAGATAAATTCAAGTATATACTACAGTTTTGTGGCTATGTGGGTAAAGTTAATTTGCCAGTAAAAGAACAAGAAACCTGCATCCAAAAGTACACCCTAAGGTTGTTCTGGAACCTTCTCAATATCTCCAAAAGTCAGACTGCTATGTCATGTTTTTGGATATTTTTAACAATAACCCAAACTTTTAGATTTTTCTTTATTGACCTTTTAAAAAAAGTCTGAGTAAAAGTTTACAAATCATATTGTTATTTCATATAATGATACAGACATTTCATAACAGTAATTGTCACTGATTAAAGTAACTAATGAATTACAATGTCTACTCCAACCCTTACTGTATATTGTCTTTCCCTTCACTCAATTGTTTATTAGTTTCTATTCCTCTCTCCCCACTTTCCCCATCCCTGTTAACCCTCCAAGATAGATTGTGCCGTAACTCTTAGTTTTTTATAATAGTGAACATATAGCATAACTGTCCTTTTTTGGTGATTGGTTCATGCATCATAGCACAATGTGTTCTTGAATCATCCATGCTGTGAAATATTTCACAAATTCTTGGTTTTTAAGGATGGTTTAACACTCTATTGTATGAATGCTCCAGTTTCTTTAGCCATTTGTCCATTGATGGACATCTGCACTGCTTCTAACTCTTTGATATGGTGAATAATGATGTACTAAAGATGAGTATGAGTATATTAATTTGTGTCACAGCACTTTTCTTTGTAATTTATACTGAATGGTAGAATTGCAGAATCAAACAAATTTCTACTTCCAACTTTCTAAGGAAGTATCAAACTAAGTGGTTGTTGCACCACACCGCTATCCCATTGACATCATAAGAGTTCTGATTTCTCTGCATCGCCAGTATTTGTTGTTTGCTGAACTTTGTCATGATGACATGATACCTCATCATTTAAACTGTGTTTCTCCACACAGGCCAAGGCCTTGGGTATGTCTTCATGTGCTTTTCCGGTATATGAATTCTTCTTTAGTGAAAGTACCTACTCATATCTTCTGCTGATTTTACAACTCAGACATGTCTTTTTCTTGTTAAGATGTTAGAGCTTTCTATCAATTTTAGACATAAGTCCCTTTGTCGGATGTGTCACTATCAAATACCCAGTCGGTAGGTTCTCTTTTTACTTTTACAGAAGTCTTCTGATGAACATAGGGATTTAATTTTTAAAATGTTCCTATCTACTAGTTACATTAATTTCAGTTATTGTTTTCTGTAGCTATCTCTCAGCCCAAAAACTTTTACTTAGTATTTCTTATAAAGTTAGTCTAAGATACACAAATTCCCATAGGTTTTGTTTGTCTGGAAATATCCTACTTTCACTGTCACAGCTGAGGGATAATTTTTATGGGCACAGAATTCTTTCCCCCCCCCTATTTTTTTTTTTAAAACTATTATTTGTTCGTTCATGCACACTTCCTCCCTCCTTCTCCCCCAAAACCCCTTTTAGGCTATCAACTGTCACCCACATAGTTTCCAACTGTCCATTCCTTTCAGACTGCCCTTCCTTTTCCGCATTCCACTGCAATGTTCATTAGCATAGAATTCTTGCCTGCATGGTTTCTGCTGAGAACTGGGAGCTGAGTCTGAGCAGTCCTACTTGATGGGTAACCCTGTAGAACGTCTTCCGACCCAGTAGACATTCAGGAGTGAACACTTAGCCTAGGACAGTTTCTGCTGGCCTGTGTTGCACTGTTTATGGTTCTGTGTCCCATTAGTCCCCAATGATTTAATTCAGTTTCCTACTTCACTCCATGTTTGCAGTATTTCTTTATTTTTTCTTCTTACTTAAAATCAGGATTCCAGAATTAACATTTCTATCTGTTATCCTTGAGTTTTGGTGTCTTCAGAAGAGACTGAACTGTCATGTGTATGGAGTCCATTATCTTACTCAGAAGTCTTTTTACAAAAAAAGTTACTTAAACTTTAAGAATCTTCCCTTCAATTTCTCAGGGTCTATGCATGACCATGTCTAAATTCTGTTCCAAAGTTCAAGGTACAGTAGCCTTAAATACCCTTAAATAAACAAAGCATATCAGGAATGAAGTGTAATTTAATTTATGAAACAGTCCCACAGACTCAAGGATTTCTTTGTAAAAAATGACAATTCTTTTAATAAGGTGGCCTAGTGGGAAGAAGCTGCACTCGAAGCCATGTGGTTTGAATCCACAAACTAATGCACGGGAGAAGGATGGGGAATTTTCTTCTATGCAATTTACTGCCTCTGAAAACTGACTGGAAAGTCAGCTATGGGTTGGTTCCAACTCTATGGTATACAACAACAACAACAATAATAAAGGCAATTAATAAGGAAGATATAATTTTGTTGTTATGAAGCACTGACCATGAACTGATAGATTTTCAGAGGCTGGAAATTTCCCAGCAGGGGACTGATTGCCCATCTTTCTCCTGCAGAGCAGCTGGGGGATTCAGATGACCTGCCTTTAGGTTGGCAGTGCCACTCCTTACCCACTAGGTCCCTGGAAGGTTTAAGTTATAGATGATACTGACAATTCCTTATAGCAAGCGAGTCTAGGCATTTACTATGAAAGATATAGTAAACAGACAACTGGTCTATTAATAATTCTTTACAGCACAGTAATCCAGGCACTTAACATGGAAGATCAAGGAACAGGGAAAACAAAATATAGATGTTCCCTTTCCCTACAAGTGTTAAGCCAGTGTGTTGGCAAAGAGTATTGAATATACACTGACAGTGAAAAGAGATGCATCTGTCTTTAGCAAGTGTGTATGCTCCACAGAGGTAAAGAAGGTAGAACTTCATCTCATATCCTTTGGACTTGTTATCAGGAAGGGCTAGTCCATGCAATAAAATGTCTGCTTGGAAAGGTCACTGCCATAGGTAGAGCCTGGGCCTCAGGCCCGGGTGTAATGTGAAGGGACACCCTGGTCAGGAGAAGCAGTGGACTTGCCTATTCTCCCCACTAGAGCTGTGACTGCAGGGCCCCTGCCTGAGGTGAGGCAGCTGTAGATGGATGCACAGGTGACATCTGCAGCCCAGAGTTGGGGCAGTCTGTGGCAGCAGAGTCAGTGAGACAGTGAGGACATACAGGATGTGGCAGAGTACATCTGCTGTTTCACTACATCTTGCTCTCTGACTGAGATTTGCACATTCCATGATAAGATATGAGATTGCAGAGCAGCTTTTGGCCCCCCCCCCCTTGCTGTGTACTGTTGAATCGGATCTGACTGGCACTGGAGGAGATTGCCCCTCCTTCTCAAGCAGAGCATCTGGTGGATTTGAAGTGTGCACCTTTGGGAATGCACAGCAGCCTTTACAAGATATGGAACTAAGGATATATATGTGGTTTGATATTGTCCAAATGGACATTTTGCAGTTCGTGTAATTTATTAAGAGTTAGGTTGACTGCACTAATGATGGCAGGTTAGACACTGAGGAAATAATTATTTTTCACAGACCAAATACATGTTATGCACCATCGAGCTGATCCTGCAGTGGGTTTTCCAAGAGAATAAACTGCATGGGAAGAGTGCTCATCTTCCTCCAATGGAACAGCTTGTGGATTTGAACTGTGTGTCTTGGGTTGTACATTCAATTTCTTATTAATAAGCCACAACAGCTCTTTGATCAAATACTGCCATGATTTTTTAAAAACCCCCAAAACACAACCAGATAAAAATAGGGAGATGTACAAACAACCAAGCCTCTTGTACTCCATTTTTTAATACAATTCTACTGAATCACAGAACCATGGAAGCTATTATTATTAGTGGGGTTTTCTGGTGTCCACAGGTTAGAGAACTGAATAAAGTACCAGAGCTATTGACACCATGTGAGGAATAGCTGCCATAGGACGCTACACAGACAAACCTTTACTTAGTTCCATTCTGTCCAGATTTTCATAATGGTTCGGCTCTTTTTCTTCTAGGGAGTTCTGGTGGTGTAGTCTGCAGGGAGATGTGCCATGCCTCACTGGTGGTTTGAATCAACCAGCATCTTCCCAGAGAAAAGATGGACCATTTCCTCCCATATGGGTTACAGCCTCAAAATCCCAAGGAAGGGCCAGCTATGAGTCTGTTACAGTTCACTAGCAATGAGACAGAAGAGCAGCATAAACCCTGACCAATTTTTATTTACAGCCATTCTGTAAAGACTTCTGTAATGGACTATTGAAGTAACAACTAATGGGTAAGGAATTGCACTACCAATCAAAACCTATGTGGTTGAATCCACTAGCTGCTCTGCAGGAGAAAGACAAGTTATCTCCTCTCATTTGGCTTTTTGATGATGATGATCCCTCAAGTCGATTTACAGCCTCTGAAAACCCACTGCAGGGCCTGCTATGAGTAGTTTGTAATTTGCCAGAACATAATAGCAACAACAACATATATAAATTTTACTTGGTCTGGGCTGAGAGAATATAGAATAAGGGAGGTAGTTTTTTTTTTCATTCACAATCATCAGAAACTCTTTATGGATTAAGTGGATTTCCCAGCTATTTCCTTGAGATAAACGCTATCATATAAAGGGCTAGATAGGGTAAGATAGGTGTTTAATGTATCAGGTGGGAGTAGAAAGGAATGCTGGTGGAGCAGAGCAATGGGAGGGTCAAGACACATGTGTCAATACTGACACTATTGGTTACACAGTTGGGGAAATATCTTTCATGTGCTCTTTTCCATAAAATGCTTGTCTGTCAGATACTGCTCTAAGTGTGAGCATTCAAATTAA